CTCCTCCCCCACCACCACCACCCTGCCAGACTTGAGGACCAGAATGGTGTCAGATTTATGTTTCTGGCCCCAACCTGGTATTTACAACACTGCTGGGAACATGGTAGGCACTTAATAAATTGTAGCTTAGAATCTTTGATTATGAAGCCATCTGTTCTCATACTTCAGTTTTGGAACCTTCTGTCTTCTTCAAGTTATTGCTTCAATTACTGAAATTATCTTAGTTCTGTCTTCTTTTCTCAATTTTATCTAATCTTTTGGTTTCACTTAGGCCCTGGGTTTTCAGGTATCTGAAAGCAAAGCGGAGGGTGTCAGTCAGGAGAGTGTTTTTGCCCTGTTAGGGAGTGGGGTAACTGTTTGGCTGCTTCCTACCACAGAGTATTCTGAGACCTTCTGGGGTTCATCTACCAATCACAATTAAAGGAGGGGATCATTTTGGAAAATTAAAACTCCTGCTTTGGAGGGAGAATGGCAGTATTTTGATCAAGTTATTTGATCTATGCTGAAACAAATCCTGCATAAAGAAGTTTAAAATGGTCTGCTGGTGAGGCTGGTGCCTGGAATTGGAGCCTGTCTGAACACTGAGGAGGGTGTGGTGACCTTGTTGGAATACCTGATGTTGCCGGGTTGGGTAATGAGAGTAATTAGAAACTAGGTGAATCACAATTTTGAAAACTGATCCTAAACAGGGAACAGAAATTCCCACTTGTATGAATACTTTCAAGCTAGCTCCAGAGGAGTAGGGCCAAGAATTTACAGGACATGTCAACGTTTTCAAGTTCAGAGGACACTAACTGGCAAATACTTCTAGGATTGGTTCAAAAGCCTTGGGTCTAAGGAAGAAAAGGAACCAACTTACTGAGGTCTATCTTGGGCTAGGCTTTGTACTGCTTGCTTTCACATGTTATCTCTATTTAATCCTCCTCCGCACAGCCTTGTGATTGATGTCAGTGGTATACCCACTTCACAGAATTAAAAAATGAGATTTAGAAATATTGAGTAACTTGCCCAGGGTCTCATAGCTAGTATGTGTCAAAGTCAAGATTCCAGCCTTGGCTGCAGAGCCCATGGCTAACTATGCATCCGAATGACTCCGTACTGAAAGTAATAGGTAAAGAAAAGGTGTGAGGAGTCCCTGGAATCATACTATGCCATAAATAATTTTTCTCTCTCTTAATGCTAGACAACGAAAGGTCATCAGTAGAAACTTGTTAAATTTAATGTCACCACCTTTTTGTTTGTCCTTATTTCTCTTCTCTAGCCCTGTTGAGAAAAAGATTTTCAGATTTCACTTAAATATTAACCACAATTTAGAAATTATATTTATTAACCTATGACAGAAGGTATCTTTCTTGGCACAAAATTCAGGCTATTATGAATTTCTTCTGCATTCACTGATTTTTTATAAATATAAGCTATATTTACTAGGTACATTATAAATTTGACAAACATGAGTGTTGTCTTGGCCTACAGACTTAAAATAGCCACGTGATTATAAAAGGAGTACAGGTCTGAGTGTATGTCCAAATATGGAACTTGAATGATATAGTGAAATTAGAAATGCAATTTTAGAAGTAATTATGCCATTGTGTAAATGTTTGCCTCTTATGAAGGCCTTGCTGCATTGCTTATAAAACTGAGTTGAAGATGAGAAAGCCTGTGTCCACAGCTATACTTTTTTAACTATATGTGAAATATGTGCTTTTATTACACATAGATATTCACATTAAATTATTAATTTGCAGACCAGTTTTGTTTCAGTTAACAAATGAGCTTATCAAATGTGGCTTTGAACTTAATTATTTTTAATTAAGGAGATACTTGTGACACAACATATTATTTCAAGTAGCTATGAGTAGAACTTGTTGTGAGGGAACAATTTAGGGTAAGCATCTGGTATCAGATAGAGAAGCATGCAATGAGCATCTGGAAGTTTTTTTTTATAAACAAATTAAACAGTCTCATTTGAGTTCATTTAAATTTTTTTAAATTTCTAATTACTAAGCTTTTTAAAATTTGTGAGTTACAATTTGCTTCCTAGGACATATAAAAGAAAAAAGTAATGTCTTAAATATATTCTCTCTTAGAATAGAATATGAAACACTGACATTTCCCTGCCAGTTCAAGATATCAGATGTTTTTTATTTAAGGGTATACTTTTTATTTTAACCTTTAGATTCCTTTACAACAGTTATTATAGCAGAGGTGTTTCTTCTGCTTTCCATTGAGATTGATTTCTGCTTTGTCAGCTAAACTTTCATTGTTCACTTCCCGGGGCCTTCTGGTGGCCCTTCCATTCATTTCCTGCTTGAATTCCTATCTCACATCTCAGTCTCCACCCTAGGTTAACATGACTTATACTTAAGCATATTGAAACTCGAGTTTGTAAGAGAGTGCCTCTTAGAAATGATAAAGTTGGGGGTGAGGATGGCTGGCTGCTTGTTGAAAAATTTTTGGCTATTTCATGTAATGGTTGCTTCTTCAGTGGATCTAGATTTGGGGGTACCTATAAAATAGATAATTTTATTTGATTTTTAATTTAATGATATTTTACAGATTCCTGCGTTTCATTTAGTTACAATAAAAAGTTTAAAGAGTAATATCGCAAACACCTACATACTCTTTGCCTAGATTTACCAGTTGTTAGCATTTTGCCACATTTTTACTCTCTATATTTTTTATGTCCTCAATGAAATGAAAATAAGTTACAGAACATCATACTTCATCCTAAACACTTCATCATCTTTATCTCTTAAGAGCTAGGACATTCTCTTACCTAGTGGCAACACCATTATCATAGCCAAGAAAATGAAACTAATTCCATATCGTTATGTAGTATCTAGTTCAAATTCAGACTTTCCCTATTATACAAAATACATCCTTTATGGCTATTTTAAAAAATACAGATTACAATTAACTTTCAATCATTGGATTTGGTTTCCACAGCTCTCTTAATCTAGAAGTTATATGCCCCTCCCTCCATATTGCCTTTTTTGAATAGTCCAGGCCAGTTCTATAGAATGGAACACTTCCTGGCTTTGTTTATTTCTTCCTAGTGTTGCTTAACTAATTCCTCTCCCCTTTATTTCCTGTAAACTGAAAATTAGGTCTGGATCTTGATTAGATTTAGAGTAAATATGTTTGGCATAAATACTTCGCAAGTAGATTGACCATTTTCCCATGTTTCTCCAGGATAGTCCTGTGACCTGTTGTGAAAACATAATTATTATTAGTACCCCCTTTTTCTCTCTGAGATCTTCTTGTGTGGATAATAGATTAAGCCACTATTTATAAATAATTATGTGCACTTCATGTGGCCTCCCATCAGGAGTCCCATCAGGTTAGATTGGTCTACTATTTATGATACTAAATTTAATCACTTGGTGATGCCAGACTCCTTTATTGTAAAGCCATGTTTTTCCTTTTGTAGTTAGTAAGTAATCTGTGGGATGATAATTTGAGACTGTGTGAATATCCTGTACCCATGGTTTGAAAGTCTATTGATGATCCTTGACAGAATAAATTCTACATCAGGAGTTATAATGCTAGTTCTTTTTAAATGATTAAGTTGGTTTTTTTGTTTTTAAAGAAACCATAATATAAAAGTACAATAAATGATTAAGTTTTGACATAAAAGTAATAAATGATTAAGTTTTGACATTGAGATTTTTTTAATGGGAGAACAATGTTTTATTTGTTCCCAAATATTTCAAGATCCACAGACAACTTAAATATTGGTTGCCTGCCATTTTAAATGCTTTTTTCTATTGCTCATTGCAGCTTTCTATTCTTTGAAAACACTAAGAATAATGTCCCTGCATCAGTTTTTACTAGAGCCAATCACCTGTCATGCCTGGAACAGGGATCGTACTCGTAAGTATTCTATTAACTTTGTTTTTTTTATTTTGGTACCTTTGATACATTTCAGATTCAGGCACATTTAGGGTTTACATATTTCAGTGTGATTTGTGAAAAGGACATAAATCTATTGACATAGATTCAAAAAGGAACTATATCAGTCCTTTGGTTTATAGATAGAGAAACTAAGGCCCAGGGTGATAGAAGTTCTTTCCAGTGATTACATACCAAATTGATGTCAGAGGCATTGCTAGCACCCAAGGCTTCTAGTTCCTTGTCCACTTCTTTTTCTACAGTACCACTTGCAGGACAGTTTATATCAGAAACATCTTTCATTACCCTAAGAACCCAGTGTCTTGAATGGTTGTGCAGTAATGCAGTACTCATCCATTATTTAGGCAGAATACCAGGACCTAGAAATAAGCTGTTACAGAGACATATGGTTTACGCCTGAGGTATTCAGAGCATTATTAACTTGTATTGACTGTATTTTTCATAGTCAGCTTGAGTTTCTAGTTTTCTAGCTTCAGCAAACTAGAAAAGGATGGAGAAGTCTCTTTAGGAATAGACACAGTTCAGCAAGCACAGTGACAGAAATTATAACAGGAAAGTAGAAAACAAAAAATAAAAATGCCTACAAACAGAGACAAATATGTCATAGTATGCCTATTAGTTATTAAAAAAGGTAAAATTAGCTGGGCACAGTGGTGTGCACATGTAGTCCCAACTACTCCACAGGCTGAGGTGAGAGGATTGCTTGAGCCCAGTAGTTTGAGTCCAGCCTGGGCAACACAGCAAGATTCCTATCTTAAAAAAAGCGTTGGTAAAATTATATTTACAATCTTTTTTTAAATAATATATTTATTAAGATATACTTCACATGACATAAAATTCGCCCTTTTAAAGTATTCAATTCAGTGGTTTTAAATTTATTCACAGTTATGCAACAATCACCACTATTTTCAGAATATTTTCATCACCTCAAAAAGAAACTCTGTACCCACTAGCAGTCACTCTCAGTTTTCCCCAAAATCCCTCAGTCCCAGGAAACCACTAATTTACTTTTTGTCTCTATGGATTTGCCTATTCTGGATATTTTGAATAAATGGGATCATACAATAGGTGGCTTTTTGTATCTAGCTTCTTTCACTGGGCATGTTTTCAAGGGTCATCCCTGTTATACAATATATAAGTACTTTATTCCTTTTTATGGCTGAATAATATTTCTTAGTATGGATATGGCACATTTTGTTTATCTTTTTGTCAGGTGGTGGACTTTGAGTTCTTTCCACATATTGGCTATTGTGAATGATGCTGCTGTGAACATTCATATATAAATTTTTATGTGGACATATGTTTTTAGTTCTCTTAAGCACCTAGGATTTTAATTGCTGGGCTATATGGTAACTGTGTTGAATATTTTGAGGAACTATCAGACTGTTTTCCAAAATGTCCACACTGTTGTACATTCTTACTGCGAGTGTATGAAGCTTCCAGTTTCTCCACATCCTCGCCAATACTTGTTATTGTCAGTCTTTTCTATTATAGCCCTCCCAGTGGGTATAAAGTAGTATCCCATTGCGGTTTTGCTTTGCATTTTCCTCACGACTAATGATGTTGAACATCTTTTCACATGTTGATTGGCTGTCCATATATCTTCTTTGGAGAAATGTCTATTCAGATCCTTTGCGTTTGTTTTTTTTTTCTTTTTTTTTTTTGGTAGAGACCGGGTCTCGCTGTGTTGCCTAGGCTGGTCTTGAACTCCTGGCCTCAAGGGATCCTCCCACCTTGGCCTCCCAAAGTGTTTGGAGTATGGGGTGAGCCACCACTCCTGGCCCCTTTGCCCATTTTTAAATTGAGTCGTCTTTTTGTTATTGGGTCATGAGAGTTCTTTATATATTCTGGATACAAGTCTCTTATCAGACATATGATTCACAGATATTTTCTCCCATTCTGTGGGTTGTCTTTTCCCTTTCTTGAAGGTGTTCTTTGAAGCACAAAAGTTTTTAATTTTGAAAAAGTCCAATGTATTTATTTTTTTCTTTTATTGCTTGTACTTTTGTTGTTGTTTCTTAGGAAACCATTGCCTAATCCAGGGTCACAAAAATGTGTGCCTATACCTATGTTTCCTTCTAAGAGTCTTATAGTTTTAGCTATTTTATTTAGGTCTTTGATCCATTTTGAGTTACTTTTTATATATGCTGTGAGAAGGAGTCCAACATTATCCTTTTGCATGCAAATATCCAATTGTCCCAGCACCATTTGGCGAAGCCTCTTCTCTTCCCATTGAATTGTCTCGGCACTCTTGTTGAAAATCAACTGAGTGTAAATATGAGAGTTTATTTCTGGACTGTCAATTCTATTCCATTGTTCTTTATATTTATCCTAATTCTGGGACCACACTATCTTGTTTACTGTAGTTTTGTGGTAAGTTTTAAAATCAGAAAGTGTAAGTTCCAACTTTGTTCTTCTTTTTCAAGATTGTTTTGGTTATTATGTCCCTTGCATTTCCACATGAATTTTAGGATGAACTTATTAATTTTTGCTAAGAAGCTGGTGAGCTTTTGATAGGGATTGCTCTGAATCTGTAGATTCACTATGTTTTTAAAGCATTTTAGACATGGTTTGCTTTTATTTTTAAATAAATCTTGGTACATGAACCAAGTACACTACAGGTTATGGTTGGGTGAAGTGAAGACCTAGATGAGATTCTCTATATTGGGCAGTTCAAAGTATATAAAACATGGTAGAATAGTGAATCAAGAGCTTCTGTTTTGTGATCAGCTTACAGAGCTTCACGGCTGAGTTTCCTATATATTCTGTTTCTACTTTCCCATCTAAAAATGGGTTTTTGGAGCATTTCTCATTATTTTTAATACAGGTACAAGTTATCATTGTCCTCATTTAAACTACTTGATAAATTTAGTGTAACTCACCATTTTTGTTATGACATTATGATTTGAAATTTATAACATTTCCCAGGTTTAAATTTGGATTTGGCTTTTGAAATCTCTGTATGCATCTTAGAAACTTGAAAAATATATAACTGGTTTCCAGAAAGCACTTAAAGTCTTAGGATTTGGGAGTTAGATATTTATCTAGTTCCACAGTTTCATTTGTAAAACAAATGTACCTTTCCTAAGTAGGGAAGGAAAAGTGAATATATAGATGGGGAAATTTAAATGATTCACTTTTAATCAGTCCAGTGAAAGTTTGGATCATAGATCCTGATTTTAATTGTAAGAAATCAGTGTTTAAAAAGAAAAAGAA